AGCCAAGACAGGGCTGCAGTAAGCTGAGAAGTAATAGTCACAGTGACAGCTGACGTTAACTCAATGAAAAGTGACAGGAGCTGGACTGACTTTAACTCACTGAAAAGTAGAGAAAAGAGGGCCATGGACACAGGTTTGGGGGTAAATCTGGGTTGAGCTGATGCTGCCTACTGCTCTCCTGAGTTGCAAGTCTGGTGGAGACCCTTAGATTTAGGTGAAAGCACATTCTCAAGAAAGAAAGGGCAGAGGCCAGGCCAATATGTGGGGTTCAGTGATTGAGGGTCATCCCATGTACTAAGAGGTCACTAATTCAATTCCTGATCAGGGCACATGCCCAGGTTGTGGGCTCGATCCCCAGTAGGGGGAGTGCAGGAGGATCGATGTTTTTCTCTCTCTCCCTCTTCCTTCCTCTCTATCAATAAAAACAGAAGCAGGCAAATTGGTTGGACCATGATTCCCAGATATTTAGTTAAATTTTATTCTGGATGTTTCTGTGAATGTGACTTTGGGATGAGATTAACACTTAAGTCAGTGAACTCGGAGTAAAGCAGAAGCCCTTCACAATGTGATAAACTTCATCCAATCTGTTGAAAACCTTGACAGAACAAAGGCTGGCCTCCCTTAAGCAAGAAGGAATACTGCCAGCATTCAGCCTTTAGACTCAAACTGCAACTCTGTCCAAGGTCCCCAACCTGGCAGTATTTACCACCATATTTTTTTTCCTGGACAATCATGTGAGCAAATCCCTTAAATCAATCTCCCTATCAATCTCCATCTACACACCCACCAACACAAGATTCTATTTACTCTATTTCTCTGGAGAATTCTGAAAATACATTATCCAAAGGAAAACACAACTTTGCCTTAAAATTTATTTAAAAGCATACAGTTTATTTGAAGATCAACAATCAATACTATTAACTAAGTCAACAACAGTCTAAGAAAAGCTATTCAAATTCTAGCTCTTGACCAAACAGTTTCATTTAACTTTCCCAAAGACTGATAAAAGATACTGCTTTATCCAAATAAGAAACAGTAATTTGTTTTGTAAAAAGTGGTTGAGCCTAACCAGTTTGGCTTAATGGACATCAGTTGGACATCCCCCAAGGGCTCCCAGACTCCAAAAAGGGCACAAGCCAGAATGAGGGACCCCTCCCCCACCCAGGGCACAAATGTCATGCATCGGGCCTCTAGTCTTCTATAATATCCCTTAGAACAAACATAATTAGAGCAGTTCTTGGATAACATAGTTTCATGCAACGTTTTTTTGTTATAACATTGATGAGAGAAAAAAACTTGATTCCCAGCTGGGGCTACTGTCATGTGGAGTCTACACATGCAGCCCATATCAGTATGAATTTACTCTGGGTACTCCAATTTCCCCCCATATCCCAAGATGTACTGTATGTGGTAGGTGAGTTGGCATGTCTACATTGTCCCAGTCTGAGTCAGTGTGTTTGTGTGTGAGTGTGTGACAGGAAAGTAAGAAGCTAGGAAAGTTCCTGGCCAAGTGGAATAGAGAAACTAAAACAAGAAAATTGAAAAAGGACACACAGTTTAGGCACCTTGCAGCCAGCTTGTGAATCGAAAGACCTTATCTTCCCCAACCAAGGACACCTGAGAGCAAATGGTTAATACCTCTCCCTCTCCTCCCTAACCAGAGGATATATAACTTAAATCACCCTGGGGGGAAAGGAAAATAAAAAAGGGGGAATTTTGTCTCACCCATTGAACAAGAAGTTAGCCATCTCAGGACATACCAAACAAGATGACCAGGTGTATGTACAAACGTCCCAAGAAAAGCCACAACAAAGGAAAAGGGACTTTGAACCCTAACCTGCTACCCAAGATATCCCGCAGAGGTACCTTGAAACCTATGAGAAGATAAAAAACTCCATGAATCCCCCACCACCACCACCAGGTGCATGCTCAGATTAGCTGAGTGGGCCCCTGGTGCTACATGGCGAGTATCTATACTAATAACAGACTAGGGCCGTCATGACCAGACAGATGACCCGTCCAGGCGGGAGCTCTGCGCAGGTGCACTGGGCCCACTGCCAGGTGCAGGGAAGGCAGAGTCTGGGCGGGAGTGGCCCGAGTGCATGTGGCTAGTTGACCTTGGGGGCTGTGCAGATGGATGGGCCACCCTAGACCACACTAGCGAGCTGCACAGAGGGCCACAGAGGTACGGTGCTGTTAGGGCAGCAGCCCACGGGGTCAGCGAGGCTGGGGTGCCAGGTAGGCCCCAGCTCATCAGGCACCCCCGGGGGAGCATGGCCATCCAGAAAAAGCTCTCTTTCCAGAAGAACATGGATGGTTTAAAAGTGCATAGGGAAACTGTGGTGGTAACCATATGGCCATGTCAGTTCCCAGAGCCGCCTACCAGTGCCAGACCGCAGGCTTCGCTGTGGGGCGTAGGCCTGGATGTGGGCCAGGACGTGGTCTTGGCAGCCGGACTCACCCCTGGTGTCACCTCAGCATCACAACTTCATGTGGCCATCGCTGTTGTCTGTGGGCCCCGGTGAGCTGGCACCCTGCGTGCTCAGGACAGCGCTCTCTGTGTCTCCGTTAAAAGGACAGTGTATGTGATGGGCGCATTGATTCCTTCAGGTTGAAATGGGGCAGCCTGAACTTGCTCACAACGCAATCTTTTCTCCGTATTTTACCGCACAGACTTCTCGGGCTCAGGGAACCGGCAGCCACTGCAGCACCAGCTTGGCCATCCCACACAGCCAGACGCCACCGAAAAGCACAGAGATGCCAAAGCCCCAACGGAACCCGTCGTGCAACAGACCCCGGTTCACATACTGGGGCAGAAACAAGAAAACAGTGGCACCTGTTGGACCTCGGCTGGGACCGTGCTCGCGGGTCTGTCTGCAGGGTTCCTGCACCCAATGGCCAAGCAAGCTCTGCAAGCCTTGATTCTGGAGTTATGGATCTTAGCAAGTAGGCAGGTGCGCAAAAGTGGAGTCGAAAATAACAAGGTTAGACCGTGTGTGAGTGTGTACATTTATACACATATATGCCCATTTCCCCCAGTCTTTTTCTGAGCTGTTTGAGAGCATGCTCCACACATGACAGGATGCCGGGATACTCCCCTGTGAATTTCCCAAAAGCAGACACTCCTACATAGCAATTCTCCACCCAACCACGTGAGGAAATCGCCATTCAAATGGTATTAGGGTTCAATCCACAGACCCCATTTGAATTCTGACAGCTGTGTCAACAATGTTCCCACTCCCCAACCCAGGATGCCATCCACCTTGGATGGGTCCTCTGTCATTCCTGTCCCTGACAGTTTGTCAGTTTTAATTAAAAATCATGGACTTTTCCTCTAAAAAAAAAAATTAAATAAAAACAAAGAAAGACCCGCTGGCGCTCCAAGTTAGGAGCCAGCAGTCCCAGATTGTGAGCAGTCAGACATCCCCTGAGGGGTCCCAGATTGGAGAGGGTGCAGGCCGGGCTGAGGAACACCACCACCACCATGCACAAATTTCATGCACTGGGCAACTAATATTTTTAATAAATTTGCTTGCCTTGCTTCATTAATAAATTTGCTTGCTTTGCTACAATATGCTTTATCTCAGTTGGCCTGTAGTAAAACTGGTTTCATTATACACTGGAGCACCAGCTCCAGTGAAGGCACCATTTCTAAGAACTTATCGACAACTTATTGCAATGAGGACTTGCTGTAAATGTTATACTGAGTTCTCATGTGAGCCTCTCTAACAAACTAACTGAATCTGAGGAGGAGGTTTTGGAAACCTCCCTCTTACAGCCAATCGGTCAGAAGTACAGGTAACAACCTTGACTTGCAACTGGCATCTAAAATGGGGGCAGTTTTGTCAGACTGAAGCCTTAACCTGTGGGGAACAATGCTACCCCACAATTCTGATAGTGTCAGAATTGAATTACATTGCAGCACAGCTAATCAGTGTCTATACTACTGCTTGGTAGTATTGGGAAAAACACACTTCAGAAGCACTATAATCTCAAGAAGCAGTGAACCGACAGAACAAATTTCCTTGCATAAAAGAATCCCTTGATCTTAAAAACACTAATTACTGGGGTTTATAAATATGACGTTAGCACCACATCAAAATAACCTTGATTGGAATTCATTTTTTATTGTTGCATACGAAAGGAAAAGAGAATATAAGAGATAAGGACTTACAAGTGGTAGGTGGAGACAGAAGCAGAGATTTATTTACAAGAGAACCTAACAATTCTAGTTCATCATATACATCTGCCTTTATAAAGCCATCACTTCATACATCCACCTATCTACAGCAGTGGCTCTCAAAGTGTGACCCCCAGTTCAACTACATCACCTGTCAGAAATGTGTACTCTGGGTCCCCACTTCAGACTTAATCATTCTCTGGGGATGGAGACCAGGAATCTGTGTTTTAACAAGCACCCCAGATGATTCTGATGCTCACTAAAGTCTGAGAACCAGTAATCTCCAGTAAAGTCAAATGCCTTTAAGGTAAGGCACAAGAAAATCAGGAAATTCTAGAAACTGAGTAGCAGAATTTTACTACATCATTATGGGTCATGTGGAGGAAACATTTATCCCTCCTTTTTTATAAGACATTTAATAAAAAATGCTTTCCGAATACCATCTAACTGCCATTACTTAAAAATTTTTTCAAGATTTAAATTTTCAGTCCACTCATAGGTTGTTTTGTGCTCAACAAAACAAAACAAAGCAAAAGTTTTTAGAGAGGACGATGATACATTCCCCAGACAAAATGTACAGGCTGAGGTACCATATTATAAATTGCTGAGCTTAAAATTAAATTTTTTAGTTCTTCCATCACATGGGACATAAAACTCATCAGTAAAAACTAAAAAGGGCCAATGTATATAATATTTCTACAAAATCTGCACTTATCATATGAAAATTTGCCAAAAGGGACAAAATCTTGCCAAAGAAGCAATTCCTCTGCCAATTTAATTCAGGCTATTAGCATTTCTTTCTACAGGAAAAAATAAATACCTTTAAACTGCTTGATCATGTTCTGATGGTTTTCAATGGCTTCCTTTAAGATCACTTCAGGCTGGTCCATCTTCCACCGCCATTCAGTGCCCACTGGATTGGTGTGGTGCCTAGGAAAAAAAGGCAAAAGTTCTAAAGCACTCTGACATAAGATCTCAACTACTCATCTACTATGATGAAGCAGTTAATAAAATCATAAAATCAGGGTTGATTTCCCCCTAAATACTTGGCTTTTTATAGCTGTATTTTCTTTTTTTAATTAGAAATGAATTTAAGTCATGACGCCTAGCAGAGAGCGATGGCTAGAGAAGTGCCTGGCTGAGACTGAGGTTTAATCATAACAATACCAAATGTGCACCCCTCTCTCCCAGCCATCCACTACCAGGCTAACAAGCATCTAATAACAGTAGAATATTGCCAGAATAGTTGCAAGATCCTAGTGATAGACCCTTCCTGAGAGGCAGCGCAATGGGAAGACCTAGAGCTTAAGAAGGATCAAATATTAAGGAGAAAAAACTCTGGCAGACCAACCTCCATGCTATATTCATAGTATCTCTAAAGGAAATTTAAGGCAGTGATACACTGATGGTATTCACAGAAACATCAAACCTTAATTCATGCCCAATCTTGACTAGGTTAACTCAAACTCCAACAAGAAAGGCCTAGCAGAAAGAAAATGCATGCCGACTTCAAACATTTACACAGAAAACATTTACCTCAGTCTCTAATGCATGCATTAAACAAAATGTCCCACTTGAAACAAAAACTTATAAGGTATACAAAAAAGGCAAGAAAAACAATGCACTTCCAATAGAAAGCATCAACAAAACCAAACTCTTTATTTACATATATATATATTTTTTTTTTAATTGATTTCAGAGAGGAAGGGAGAGGAGGAGAGAGATAGAAACAGCAATGATGGGAAAGAATCATTGATCAGCTGCCTCCACTGAGGATTGAGCCTGCAATCCAGACATGTGCCCTGACCTGGAATCGAACCATGACCTCCTTGTTCATAGGTCAACACTCAACCAGTGAGCCATGCCAGTTGAGCAAAACCAAACTCATTTGATATAAGTATTGATTCTATTTGACAGGAAATTTTTTAAACTACAATTAATATGTCAAAAACTCTAATAGAAAAGGTAAGCAACATGCAAGATACTAACACCAGGGGGGTGAAAGCATGAGTGGGGTGTTGGAGGAAGCAATGGGGGGATAAGGACAAATAGGTAATACCTTAATCAATAAAGAAAAAAAAACACCAATCATTGTAAGACCAACTAAAAAACACCAGTTAAAAGACAGATTGTCCAAACTAACTTTTAAAAATCTAGCAATCCTATGCACAGGTGTTTAACCAAGAGAAATGAAATTATTTGTCTACAAAAAAATGAATGTCTACAGGAGCTTTGTTCATAATTTAGTCAAAACCTTGAAACAACTCAAATAGTACTCAACTAGAGGTGCACAAATAAATGGTGCTAATCCATACAATAGAAAGAAACAAGCTATTGATAAACCTAAAAACATAGATGAATCTCAAGAATATTTTACTGAGGAAAAATAACAGACATATAAATGCATACTGAATGATTCGTTTTTATATAGTTTATACTAGTAGAAAAAGCACAGTAATATTTATCGTCAAAAAGCAAATCAGAAAATGAAAAGAAACTCCAGGGATAATGAAAATGTTCTATGTCTTGATTGTAGTCACAGTAACACAGATATATACATTTACCAACATTCACTGAGATGTATATTTTAAACAGGTGCATTTGGTTGTATGTAAATAAAACTTCAATAAAGTAGATTTTTTAAAATTGATCCAGCCAAACACTTGTTTATAAGAAGCACAACTAAAATATAAAGACACATAAAGGTTGACATTGCATAAAGGAAAAAAAAAGATCTGTCAATTGTTAATAACAAAAAAGAAATCTAATAGACTTATATTACAATCAGAAAATACACACTTTAAGGCAACAAACATTACTATGGGTAAAGAGGACTACTAAATAAGGACTACAAAATAATGATAAAACAAACAGGAACAAAGAATAGAATTTATGACTGTTTAATATCTGACCATTAAAAATATAAACAAAAAATATTTACAATTGAATAACTAATCAAAATCGATGGAATAGCTAAAGAATACTTAGAGGAAAATTTACAATTAAAGACTTATAGAAGATTGAACATTACTGAGTTAATGGTCCAATTTAAGTTAGAAAAAGAACAGAGAAACAAAAACAATAGATAAGTGAACAAAAAAGTAAAAGTATAATGAAAAGAATATACAAAGCTAAAATGAAGCTATTCAAAAAGACTAAAAAACTTGACAAGCCCCTGATAAAATGGTCAAGAAAACCAAACATACACATTAATATATAATATTAGGAATGGAAAAGGGATTAATTACAGGAACATCAAAGCTTCAGGTACATTTGAGTGCCCTGTTTGGCAGAAATTGATTATTACAGATCATTACATATTTGGCCACCATGATCATTTATTTTTACTTACCGCCAACAGAAGACACATTTATTTGCACATGCTAAGCTCGGAGTGGTTTCCATGCAACGATGGCTCTCAATACCATAGAATGTATGTTTATAGCAACCTCCTCTTCCTCGGAGCATTGACTGTAAGAAAAAAAAAACAAATAATTGAAATAAAACCTCAAAGCATAGAAAAACCAAGGTATCATTTTTAAGAAACTATGTGTTTTATAACCATAAATAGCCCTAATAGCATCTGCACGATGCATAAAATTAATACTATAGTATTATAGTGTTCTGATAATGATTTGCATTTTCTAAAACCCAGTGAAATAAACCCAAGATTCATTAACTCTGAAAGCTCTATAGAAAGGATCATTTATACTTTTATTTTTCAAATCCATCTAACTGTCTCAAATATTATCAGTTCAAAAATATTTAATGCAAAGGATAGATAACACCGTCTCCAGAAAATGTAGAAGCCGGTCATATGAAAGAGTATCTCTGCTTTGAATAATAAGGGTGGGTAAGGGAATCCATCTGGGAGCATATTCCATGTCAACTGAACAGTAGAATTTGAACATATTGAAACTGTTGAGGAAATAAGCCACATGTGTAACAAGTAGATTATTTTAAAAAACAACACTGTTTAATACATGAGTGGTAAAACCACAACAGTAAGAAAGGGTAATTTGAAGAAATACTGCAAGATATCAAGCTTTATAAGGTATCATAAAAAATATTTGTCAAGAGGACCCTTTCCCCCTCCCTATGTGGGAGTCTGTATTTGTTCTTCAATAAATTTCCTCCTTTGCTGTAAAACATATATATATTTGTCCAAAAGCTCTGAGTAAGATTGGCTTGATTTCAGTAAAAGGGAAAGTTGTGAGGAGTTTACACAAGAGAAGTCATAATGACAGCCCATAATATCAATGGAGGAGAGAAATAGGGTATAAAGAGGTACAACCACTGACATTCCCGATCAGAAGGGCAAAACAGAGGAAGTCCTCTAAGATAAATGAGAGGTGAAGCCTAAGTAAATGAAATATCATGGTATTAACAACAGCAACAACAAATAAGGAGATACAATCAGGTAGTCTTTATACATGTGTATGTGTATAAACATTACACTTCACATGTCAGTGTGCTAATATTATAATGCTGTTCACCATGAAAGAAAATTATATATAAAATCTATCAGCTTGATTACTATGTCAGTTGGTTAGGAAGTCTTTTACTTTTTTGTCCTGATAAAAGGACTTCCCCCTCCATCTCAATGCAGTTGGCCCTTGAACAAAAAAAAGGTTTGAAATGTGCAGGTTCACTTAGATGAGAAAAAAATTTTTCAATAAATATTGCATATGTGCTTTCTCCTCCTTATAATTTTCTTAATAACATTTAATTTTCTCTAGTTTATTTTGTGATGAGAATACAGTATAATATACATATACCACACAATATATGTGTTAACCAGCTATTTGTGTTATTGATAAGGCTTCCAGTTAACAATAGGCTATTAGTAGTTTAAGTTTTGGGGAAGTCAAAGTTACACACAGGTTTTTGGCTGTCAGGGTTAGGGAACAACCTCCATGTTGCTCAAGTGTCAAATGTATTTACATTAAGAGCAAAAAAAGGAGTGAAGGAAGAAAAATATTGTTCAGGTTAATGGTGTTTGCAAACTCCTCAAAATTTCCAATAAAATATCCAAGAAGGAAAAGAAAACATTCAAATCTTGTAAATAGCACTGAAAACTAAAAGTCCACCACATCCCAAACACCGAGTAATTTCCACTATCATGTCCATGGAGAAACAGTTGAAGACGTGCATATTTTCATTATTTACTGAGTAGTGAATGTACCCAAGCATGCTGTGTACGTGATGCAGAAGACAAAGCCTCCAGTCGCCATGGTGTCCCTCAGTGAAGGAAGGAAGCCTCAGGCCCAGGAGGAAAGCAGAGCATTTCTCGGCCAGGTCACTTGTTACAAGGTTTAGGTGGTGGGAAGGGATCTCTATCATTTCACTTTTACTTGGCTACCTTGGTATCTTTTGGCAGGAGAGGGGAACTGCATGTCTAGCAGGAAAGGAGAGTACTTGTCCAACTGCTTATTGTTAGGGGGGGCTCCCAATCGAACCTCTTTCCCAATGGTACCGGTCTCCCCTGATCTTGTCAGAGATTCCCATTCTATATTGGGGAAGAATGAGCCTCCCTGGTGGCCATCTGTTGCAAGATCAAGGATCAGGAAATTGCCTTCTTCTTTAGCTGGGAGATATAAGACATCCTGCTGCTGTTGTTCCTCTGTCTTGGGTCCCAAACCAACCAGGCTTCCTCTTACTGCCTTTCAGAGTTCTTGTTTGGCTCCCGTTTGTGTTTTTCATGGTTTGGAATTGTATGTTAGGAAGACGCAGGGAATATGAAGAGTTGATGCCATCTTGTCCAAACCAGAAGTCCTTAGACATCACATTTTCAAAGGAAGTGCTCACACATCTGAAAATTAGTGGAGGATCAAGGTAGAAAAGAAAAAGACTGGAGGGCAACATATGCTTAGAATTCATGTTAAGAATCGAGAAGGGAAAATATAGATAGCCTCAGATTCAATAATCCATGAATTCTTATCCTTGAGGTAAATAAAAGCCTGAGAAAATACAACTGTAGCCTAGCAGAGCCACAATGAATGAAGGCAAGATACCACAGGCAGGCTCTGTGCACATCAATTTGGAAAAAGAGGTACAGGGAGAAGGATGGAGGCATATAATACTCAATGGGTCTCTCTGAATGCCTTGAGGCAACGACTCTTTATTCTAGACTCTTCAAAAGGGTTTGTATAGTGAATAGCTTTGGGAGATAGTGTCTCTTTCTGCAGCAAAATGATAGCTATGCCTACTGTCCAGTATAATAAAGATGTGTCTCTCAAAGGGAAAGGCCAAGCCAAATTATTCCCAACTATAAAAGATTCATATTCCCCAAGTGTGGGGGTCCGCTCCTATAACGTATGTACAGATGATATCTGGCCCTCACAGTGCTGCTTTATTGGAACTAGGACTCAAGAACCAGAAAATGATATTCTGGCTACTGCTGTTATTATGAGTAACAAACTGTCCTTATCCTCTGCCACTATCCATGAAACTGTGGCAGGCTAACTCATTAACTTTCAAGTACAGTAAAATTTCAGACTCTTCAATTTTTGACAGGGATGAAGAGCTCAGTGCAGAGGTCGATAAACTCAATATAGCCTAAGCATCAAATCCAGTCCACTGTCTATTACTGTAAATAAAGTTTCTTGAGATAGGGTCACTGCATTCATTCATTCATTCATTCATTCATTTGTCTATGGCTGCTTTTGTGCTACAATGGCAGAGCTGAGAAGCTGCAGCACAGGTCATATGACCCACAAACTTGTTGGCCCTTTAAGAAAAAGTTTGCTCATCCTTGACTTAGGTACTTTTTTCATACTATATTACAAAAGAAATTCCAAACTGTTTAAACACACACACACACACTCACACACACACACACACACACACACACACGACTTGGGGAAGCAAGAAGCACCAGGAATTTGTTCTCCACCTAGACAATTACACTGTTTGAAACTCTGGAGTCTGTTGAAGGCTTGCAACATTCAGGAGACGGCTTAGATGGTTAATTTCTGTCAAGTATAGCTCTTAGCTACCCATACACCACCACCAGACACAAGTCAGGCAGCTGTGCACTTCCTGGAACAGCTTGCACACAGCTTGTGGGAGCAAAGGTAGGTAAAAATGACTCTGTCCTCCAATATTGGGGATCTGCACTCTGATTCCTGATTGCTTCTTCTAAACATAGAGGTGCTGACAAAGAGGTGGGCAGATGTTGCATCTCCTCCCATTTTGTAAGCCCTTCCCCTCCAGCTGAAAAGACTTGCAGGAGATTTAAAGGGACATTCCCTCTTAATTGCCCTTCATTTGTTGTTTTCTCCTTTCAGGAGCTACACATTAAAGACTAGAACATTCTGCCCTAGCTGGTTTGGTTCAGTGGATCGAGCGTTGGCCTGCAGAATAAAGAGTCCCGGGTTTGATTCCGGTCAAGGGCACATGCCCGGGTTGCAGACTCAATCTGCAGTAGGGGGCATGCAGGAGGGAACCAATCATTGGTTCTCTCTCATCATTGATGCTTCTGTCTCTCCCTCTCCCTTCCTCTCTGAGCTCAATAACATATATATATATAGACTAGAACATTCAAAAACAACTGCATATTTAGAGAAAAATTAAAAGTGACTGTATATGCCTAAGGAAAGGCTCAGAATAAAACTTAAGATGACATTAGGTTTACAACTCAGCCTGATCCTCAGTATAGAAACAGCCTACAAAAATAAAACAAAAAAATAACAAAAAAATAAAAATTCTGGGAGTTACCACAGTACTAGATTCAACTGTCCAATGTTCAAAAACAATAAAATCATAAAACATACAAAAACACAGAAAAGCATGGCCCATCAAAGAAAAAGAAAAATTCAACAGAATTTGTCCCTGAAAAATTACTTGATGGCTGATATATTAGACAGACAAAAAAGAAGAAAAAAACCTGTTCTAAAGATGCTCAAAGAATTAAAAGAAGATGTGGAAAAAGTCAAGAAAATGATGTGTGAACAAAATGGAAATATCAATAAAGAGATGAAAAAGCCTTAAGAAAAAAACAAAGAAATTCTGGAGTAGAAAAGTTTAATAATTTAAATTTAAAATTCACTAGAGGGATTCAAAGGCATATTTGAGTTTGCACAAGAATCCATAACATGAAGATAAGACCATGGAAATTATCAAGGCTGAAGAGCAGAAATAAAAAGAATGAAGAAAAGCAGAGAGCTCATCTAACCTGAGGGACATCATAAGTGGAACATGTGCATCACGAGTGTCCTGAAAGGAGAAGAGAGAAAGAGGCAGAGAGAATAAAAATAAATAAATAAATAAAAAATGGCTAAAAAATTCCCATCTTTGATAACAGACATGAATATAAATATCCAAAGACTCAACAAACTCCAAGTATGATGAACTGAAAGAGACCCGCACCAAGACACATTATAATCAAATTTTCAAAAGATAAAATCTTGAAAGTGGCAAGAACGAAACGAATCATCATATATTAGTACAAAGGACCATCTACAAATTAT